TTGGTCAGTGTCGAATCTATGTCTGAGACAACTGCAGTTCCTTTTGGCCTCCTTTTAATTCAGTTTTAAATTTGTGGTTGACCAGTGACTCTGCTGTTGTTCCAGAATTGGTGTTTAACACTATTTGCGTTGTTCCTGAGTTCAAACTGACAAAAGTGAAGACTATTCCTGAGTCAGGCATTGGGTGCCATCCATTGTACCCTCTTTTAGTATAGGATACACTGGACCATCCTTTAACAGAATAAGAGCTATGCCTGTTTCATAATTCCTGGCAACATATCATAAGACTGTCATAAAAAGCTGTTAACATACCATAACCAGACCCTGCAAACAAGACCCTTCTTGTCAGGAACTGCTTCAGTGATCTTTCCCATAATCCACGAGTTTCTTGGTGCACAAGAAGAATGACATCTCCTTCTGCAACGTTTCTTGATGCTGTGGCCCACCACTGATGTTCCTGGAGTTGCAGTAAGTACTTTAGTCCATGCCTTCCAGAATAAGTTGGACATGTATTGCACCTGTTTTAATCCACATCACGAGTAGAGGTTATCTTGGTCAAACAATCCTGGAGCCAATGATGGTTTTGTTTTCAACAGCAGGAGATGTTTAGGTATTAGAGCTTCTAAATCACTGGACACCTCTCTGATTAGTCGGTTGTTGATGATCCACTCTGCCTCATGTAAGACTGTATGAAGGCATTCTTCATCAACAATCTGCTCTTTTACAGTGGAGCTCCACCATGATGTGAAACAGTGGAAGGGTTCAATGTCCACTTTATCCCATGTTGGTGGAACAGATCTTGAAAGTCCAGTCAACAATGGCTGCCTTCATGTCACTGAGCCATTTCTGTACAGCTCAGCAGAATGTTAGGCCAAAATCCTACTGGAGTGCAAAGAAAATCATGACCCAGGTCATGTTTCTCATAAATTCACCTACTCTTTCACCTACAGTCAGCCTGATTCTTTTCTGTACTAATTTGTCTCTACACATGCATGCCAGAGCTTTTCAGGATAGTTGAAACTCTGTTTGCCACAAATGTACGGAAATGTGTGGCCTCATTCTGGAGATACTTGAGTACCACCATACTGTCCGTCCAAAATATTGATTGTGCAAGGTTAACTTGTAGCTCTCTTCTCGGGACGCCATCCATCTTAACGGTTACTGTAGCAGCAGTCAGTTCCTGACAGGGTATGGTAGGAGGTATCTTGTCAAATCTTGACAAATTGCTGCTTTTATCTAACTTTTGGACACATGATTTGATGAAAATCTGACCTGTTGTTTAGAATATGTTTAGACTGCATGAAAATAGTTTGAAAAGTTAGGCTTTTGTTGCTGACATGACCATAAATCACTAAAAAGTGTTTGGGGACTAAAAAGCATGACAAAGTTTGTCTCTCTACTAGTTTTATTGTAACTCGTGAAAAAGAGCAGAAGTAGGATTTGTGGGACCTTGTATGATGTAGATGTACAGACACTTGAAATAGCAAGCTAACTCCTTAAAAGACAAAAAAGACAGAGGCTACTCAGGTCAGAGCTATTCCCCTTAATGATCCCAAAATATAATGAATTTTGTATTTGGCTTTGAAAAAATGTTAGAAGCCTCTGATTAAATGTCATCTTACACAGGCGAAGAAATGCAAGAGACAAGAGACAAAATCCAGAGTGATAGGTTCAAGATCAGGAACAAACGGTGGTCTGGCTGGAGAAATGGGTGGTGGAAGAGGAGAAGGTGCAAGGGGATGGCAAGATGGAGGAAGAGAAGCTTCATTAAAGTTGTGGCTGGGAGGAAGATGAGGGCAGGTTTAATGTGAGCTAAGCAGTGAACATGGCAGGTTAGCAAATAGCTACTAGTTATTAAGGAATGGCCTAAATCTAAGAACTGGACAGCTGGCAGGTGGACACAGAGTAGTTATGAGCTCGGTGAGGCTTGCAATTAGTGGGCAAAGCATGAATTAGATCAGAGATGTAGTGAAACAAGGATTACTCAGCTGGCTGAGTCAGCTTGACCTGGTTAGATTCGCCCTTAGCATTAGTGTCACTTATGCTAACTGAAAGATCTGGTAAATAGTGGAGAGTGAAGTTAGTGCATATGTGCACAGGGACTTGATTAGTGGCTGTATGTAAGTTGACTGGATGAGCAGTAACAATTGCAATGTCCTGTTAGAAAGAGAGACAAAAGAGGGGACTAAGAGTTATCGGGAAAGGGAAAACTGTAGAAAACAATAAGAACGAGGGGAAGCTACTGCCATCGGCACAGAAATGGCTAGACTACACCATATCACTTCAAAATTAATGGCTAGAAATAATGCATACTATATGTCAGAGCCAGGCTTTCTGTTACATAAATAGCAGGGGAAATCAAGAGTGCTTTCTCTCTATGTGATGTCCAGTGGGCTATGGTCTTGATAAATTGTGCTGACACAGGAAGCAGACATTTGGAGGGAGGAAAGGCATGGATATCAGTTTATCTTCATCCTGATTCAGCCTGTAGCTCTGCTGTCCTTCCCCAGACACACTGAATTTGGTTGTACTTAAATAAACTTGGGTTTTATCTCTAGTATTTTGGAATACAATTCTTCTCCGGAACACTCTTCTCTATTTCGAGCACCACGATACTTCATTCTCTGAGCTACCAAATTCCTTTTTTTACACTGACATGTACTCCAAATGTTTTTTGTTTGCTTGCAATTTTAACACATTTCTTTCTTCACTTTTTTTTTTAAGAATACAACTTTTAATCAATATCACATCAAGTAAACTTTTTTGCAGCTCTTATAATTTACAGTTACATCTGGAATTATGTAGAAGGTGATGCTCTTAATGAGTTTGGCTTTGTATGTCACCAGAACAGATTTCAAATTGAACAACTGAGATGTAGATGAAATGCAGAATTTCTGCATTAATTAAACAGGCTGAACAAAAAGATATTGAAGATTTAGGAATAACAATTCTTATACACATATGTCTGTTAGCACTTCAAATATAATTGAACAAACCATCATATATTAAAATGTGTTTTAAATACTTTGAATTTTTGCAGACAATGGATTTCTAAAGTCTGAATCCTACTCAGATAACCAAAGAAATGTGTTTCACGTCCTTTCTCTAAATTTGATCCTTCCTCTCATTCCAGTAAAGATTGAACTCAGTTTCTGCTATCCAATATATTCTCTTTCAGAGTTAGCCTGAGTTTTTTTAATTTATGTTTTATTATTGAAAAAGCTTAATTGATTTCTGTTCTCGAGAGGGATCACTGATCATTGGTTTGCCTCTTCTGCGGAGGCCTCTGTATTTACTTTAGTGAAGTCAGTACTTGAACACACCATCCTCTTGAAAGTATTCTTTACTTGAATTAATGTAAGGTAGTTTTCACTACCATGGAAGTGATCATGTGACCATACACCACTGCTTTTTTGTGCTAAATCCATATCATTTTGTGTGGCCTAGTTCACCAATGTTTTCTGCTTTTCACAGGATGTACCAGACTGTTAATTTCAACACTTCTAATGTCCCAGCTATCTCTCTGTTGGATTTTTTTTTCACATACAGTATAAATATTGCCTATTTCACTTGCTTTGATGGGTCTTTTGAGGATTCAAGGCAGAGGTTTCAGAATACAATCCTTGCAATCATTTCCTGACCTTTTACCTGCTTAATTGTTAAATTATTAATGAATAAATAATTTATACGTGTAAATGAAACAGCTTTACAGTCATTTGTTCAACTACTTTTGGCCCCTTGCAAGTGTAATTTGCCTGAAGAAAGAATTATTCCACATGAAAGACATGGATGGAAAAAATTGCATAAAATTATTCCTATCTCTGGATAAATGTCAACCTTATGTTTATTGCCAAGTCTTTTGTGTCATGCCACTTTCTGAAAAGGTCATGATACAGAGAAAAAAAATACATAACTAGCTTCTTTAAAAAAAAAAAAAAAAGATACACCAATTTACTGTTTCCATGCAGAATTGTAGGCTCACAAACAGGGAATGGTAGTATCTATTGTACTGTCTGTTTGTTTCAGGTTTCTTTACTTCCTTAGACTAGCTCTCCTTCAATTAAGGAAGCAACCTGCATTTTCTGCGCCCAGGGCAACATCAGTGCTCTTTAGCATTTTGAGCCTGTGTTCGGGTTTAAGTAAGAGTCACACTGGGGCCCCACCTGCCTCCTCTGCAGCCTTGTATGGTTGCTGCTGTGAGAGCAAGTGGCAAAAGGTCCACAAATAATCATTTTACCTCTTCTTGCCTCTGGGCACTGTACATCACTCACAATCATGTTAACCACTAAAGTCGTCAGGCAAAAGCGGCACAAATTCACTTGATATGGCTTTTGCTGAGGTAAGAAACAGAGCAGGCAAAACAGGAAAACAATCCGTTGTTCTTTTTCTCTTCTGTCTGTGCATGTGTTTCTTTTTCCTTTTTTTCCAGATGAAATCTAATTTGTGAGGAGCTGTGGAGATTGGATTGAGCTGATAAAGTGACTTAATTTTCAGCAGTTGACTTTTCTCTGGTCTAACCTTTACGTAAAGCCCTCAGGTCAAAGCTTTAATTATGGTCTAAAAATGACTACAGTGTATCCAACTGCTGCTTGAATACAACACACAGCTTCACCTTACTTATTTAAATTTTAATGAGGCAAACAACTTAATTAAGAAAACGGTATATTAATTTATTCATACAATATACTAAAGCACATTATTACATTTTGCAGTTCACTTACTTCTAATTTTACCCTAATAACTTGAAACGTGTTTGCCTTTTTTACCTGCCAAATTTCGAAAATATAAGTGCATTTATAAAGGCCAATGAGAATGTGCCAAACATCTGCAAAAAAGAGCTCTGTCTCAAACTATACAACACGCTCCAAATTGGGATGAGACTGATAGATTCTGCGCATTGATTGATTAGATTGAGCGTGTTTGACGTCAGAAACGGCAAACAAATGATCCCATAAAAAGGGGAAACCTCCGTGGTGAAAAAAAGAAAAGAAAAACTGTGGGCACACAGCACCGACTGAGAGGTTTAGAGAGCGCCAAAACCATACTACCACTTCTGCCACAGAAGCTAAGTCAATACAGACTTCCGAGCCTGAAGATGCCGCTTTCAACCAGCTCCACATCCTCCACAAAGAGCGTCCGCAGAGCAGCGTCCGAGCTGGAGAGATCTGATTCCATCACGGTAAGAAATATTTTAGAGAACACAAGTTTGTTTTAAATTACAAACAGAAATCTGTGATTGTCTGTGGAGTCATCTGTTAAGAAAAATACTTTCAATGAATCACGAAAACTGTTGTATGGCACAAAGAAAACTTGGCAAGATGTTCATTACGCAGCGTCGCTGTCTGGCGCACATCTCAAACGAACAGCTTCCCAGGAAGGAAAAACAAATCCTGCACGTTTCAATTTTACAGTTGAAATCTGCTAAAATGTGTGCTGTGGTCGCTATTTACTCTTAGATATGTCGTAAGGTTTACCTTGATTGCATTGCCGATCTAATGCGCATTTGGAGATGTAAAGCGCACCCATCAAATATCAAGGGAGACATCCAAAAAGTAAGCAAAGCCCATCAGTTACGTCCATGTGGTGTCGTGTCTGTCTTTTCTTACTGTCTTACAGTTAAATCGTAACAAGCAGAACTTTAATTTCTCTTTTTAAAACAGTCTCCAAGATTCGTCGGTAGACGGCAGAGCTTGATCGAGGACGCGCGCAAGGAGAGGGAAGCAGCCGCTGCAGCGGCAGAGGCTGCAGAGGCCAGTGAACAGATAGTGTTTGAGGAGGACGATGGAAAAGCACTCCTCAACATTTTCTTTACTTTAAGAAACTCCAAGACACCTGCGCTGTCGCGGACACTCAAGGTTTTCGAGGTAATCCATCACAATTTATTCTAATAGAGTTTTAAGGGGTAACTAAATATTTTAAAGATTTATTTTGATTTATATGTGACTATTTATTTTGTTTGTTAATAATTAATTTATGAATGCTTCATAAATTCACACTAAGCTACTGGATTTGCTCTTTTGCAAAGATTCCCATTGGTCGGTATTTGTGTCTAGTTGGTAATAATACAGTTATCAACATTTGCACTCTAATATTGTGGCTGTGACCCATTTTCTGGTGAGACAACAGGGTTGCAATAATTGTGGGGAAATTAAAACCGGTTTTATAGTAGGTAAGTAGTCAAGATTCACAAGAAGGTAATTGTAAAATGTTTTTTATTTTAGTGGAATATAGTGGATATGTAAAGGTTGAATAATATTTTATTGGCTATTGTTAAAGTTGGTTACACATTTTAGTCACACAGAAGTACCGAAAAAGGTCATGGAAGAAAACCATTTGGAAAAAGAAATATCTATGTGTGGGTGGGGTGGGTGGGGTGGGGGGTTATTCCATGTTTTGAACAGGAAAGTGTGCATCCAGAATCAGTTATTGTGCTTCACAAATACTTCTCACCTCTGGATCTCTGCTACCACAGTCACATCTCAGCTTGCTGACTGTATTTCAGACATTTGAAGCTAAGATTCACCATCTGGAGACGCGACCATGCCGGAAGGTCAAAGACACCCTTGAGGGCCTGGAGTACTTTGTCCGCTGTGAGGTGCACCTCTCAGATGTCAGTACCCTGATCAGCTCCATAAAGAGGAACGCAGAGGATGTCAAAACCACCAAAGAAGTCAAATGTAACTGATGAAATAATTGTGAAACATTTTAAATAGTCTGTAGAAGTGAGCAAAAAACAGAACAGTTTATTTTTTTCTCCCTGTTTTCTCAACTAGTCCACTGGTTCCCAAAGAAAATTGCAGATTTGGATAGGTGTCATCATCTGGTCACCAAATTTGATCCAGACTTAGACCATGACCATCCAGTAAGTAATGACATTGCCAAGAAGAAGAAATAATTGAATAGAAATAGCTGTCATTACTGGGCTTGTTACAGAAAATGTGATCTGTGTTTGGTATATTTGATTTAAACAGGGCTACACAGATCCTGCCTACAGACAGAGGAGGAGAATGATTGGTGACATTGCCTTCAGATATAGATAGTGAGATGGGCCTTTTCCTAAATACTCCACACACAACCATAAAAAATAGACATAAAATTGAAATGTAATAATTGTGTGCATATGTTTGTCCTCAGTGGGCACTCGATCCCCAGAGTGGAATACACAGAGGAGGAGATTGGCACATGGTAAGGGGCTCTTTCATGCTAGTTTTTAATATTGATAATATAAGATATGAAAAGTTAAGTCTGAAGTAGCAGTGAGCATAAAATTATCATTTACAATGAACACAACATGTTTTTATCTATTAAAATACATTTCATTGTTATGTTGTTTTACTGTCAACACATTGTGGTCTACCCACCAACCAATGAGTCATTTGCATATGATTTGTCTTTTATGGATGCTTCGGTAAATTAACTTCAGATGGAGGGTGTCACAAGAATAAACTTGAGGTGACAGCTCGAGCTTGTCTGAAAAAAACAAACATATCCATAGCCTGAGAACAAAGTGTTGTTTGCAAGTTAATAGATGTTTATATTTTACTTGAACAGTTTAGGACAAAAAAAAGACACTAATGAATGAATTTAGTCACCAGACCAAGTAGAAAAATTATAGCAATGTGCTTTTTCATAAGATTTATACGATACGAGAAAAGCACAGCATAATAAAAAAGAGCTCTATAAATATGATGCAAGAAATAAATTGCTTGAAATAGTTAAACATTGCAGGATAAATCCAATTTAAACACTGTTAATTAGCAGGCGCATAACACTAACCATAACTCTAAAACTACACTGCAGTTTTGCTTATTTCCAGTTTTTCCACGATTTTGATTTTAATAAATGAAATCTCAATTTTTATGTAATTAAATCTTGATTTAGGCGAGAAGTATATTCAACCCTGAGGGACTTGTACACCACCCATGCCTGCAGTGAATACCTTGAGGCTTTTTGTCTCCTAGAAAGGCATTGTGGGTACAGCCCAGACAACATTCCCCAGCTGGAAGATGTGTCACGCTTCCTCAAAGGTAAAAATGGGATAAGACAAAATGAAAAGAAAAGATACGTAAATACAGACGCTTAGCGAATGTCGACTCCACCTATCAGGGTTTGATTCTCGCTCTCTCTCTCTCTTGCTTACTGTCCCTTTACCACCATCCCCCTGAACACACATGCAGAGCGCACAGGATTTGCGCTGCGTCCAGTGGCGGGCCTGCTCTCAGCCAGAGATTTTCTGGCCAGTTTGGCATTCCGAGTGTTCCAGTGCACCCAGTACATCCGACATGCTTCCTCCCCCATGCACTCCCCAGAACCGTGAGTACTACTGTGACTCTTTTGGCTTTGTGCTTCAACTAATTATAAAGTATACAATCAGAAATAACTCCATAAAAACAAATGCAAGTGAAATTACACATAGCATCTGCTAATAGCAACAACAATTCATATTAAAAAGCTGCCATATGCAAAAGCTGTTGTGTTTATGTAATTATTTTAAGATTCGATATGTTTTTCTTTAGAGAATAGGCTTGCTTTCATTCTGTAACTGTTATGTAATCAGATTGAATTTCCAGTTTGTGATCATAAAGTCTGCATCCAATCAAACTGAACTGTGTGGTGTTTTTCATCCAAGATCAAACATTGTCGTGAATTGAAATAACTTTTGCTTTCTCTTCAGTGACTGCGTCCATGAATTACTGGGCCACGTACCCATGCTGGCTGATCGCACTTTTGCCCAGTTTTCACAGGTTAGTGCTGAAGAGATTAGCAGCCTTACAGATCATTCAGTTCTTTTGTGCTATTTAGCAAGAACTGATCTATTATTTTCCACAGAACCTTGGTTTGGCTTCACTGGGGGCATCGGATGAAGATATTGAGAAACTGTCCACAGTAAGACTTTTGTCTTCGAACACAAACAACACATACAAACTGTATAAATATAACTGCAGTGAAGTTTGGGGTTGAACCTCATGTTGCCAGCCCATCTCCCAACCGAGACACACACACACACATGCTCCCACCCTTCTTAGCCTGGGCTTCGAGCACGAACTAAGATACATATCCCATATAGTAAACAATGGAATTAACTATTGCTAAAATATCTTTGAAAATGCATTACTTTGGACAGCCTCTTGTCTAAAATCTAACATGTAACTAATGCACTGATTGTCCATACTTCTTCTCAGTCACCTGCTTTCTGTTTTTCCATCAGCTGTACTGGTTCACGGTCGAGTATGGCTTATGTAAACAAAATGGTGAGGTGAGGGCTTATGGAGCTGGGCTGCTTTCCTCTTATGGTGAACTTGTGGTACGTTCAAACTTTTTTTTTTCCTTTAATGCAGCACACACAGACAGCTGTTAGCTAATTCTCCATTTTTTTAAACTTCCAGCACTCTCTGTCTGATGAACCAGAGACAAGAGAGTTTGATCCAGAGGCTGCAGCAGTGCAGCCCTATCAAGACCAGACATACCAGCCTGTTTACTTTATTTCTGAGAGTTTTTCAGATGCCAAGGAGAAATTCAGGTACTGCTCTTTATCATACCAGACATACACATACATAAGAACATACAGAACTGATAAAAAAAAATGTAAAAAAACAACAACAACGAAAAACAACAAAGAGAGAGGTTATGTGAGGACGAGGTCAGAGAACAGCCAGCCAACCCCCGAGGCCACAAACTATTGTAGGTCAGCCATAGCAGCCAGAAGACAGCTGTTCCTAATGTAGTCTTCCTTACCGAGGCAAAAGTCTGGAGTTTTATTTGGCAAACAGATCAAATGCTGCCCTGCAAAACAAGTAGCTTAAGTGAGTGTTTTCACAATATTCAGCCTCTAGTAGAATGCAGCACATGACATCCCCGACACACTGGATGAGAAAATACCCGCACTGGAATGTTTGAAAGAGCACAGAGAACATTGTGAGCATCATTACATAGGAGTGTTTTCTTTATGTTGTGGAATCCACAGTCTCAATAATTTGCATGCATGTACAACATGGCAAATTATAACACAAGGACAATTTGCAGGCTTGGTTGCTTTAGTCCATACTTTCAGTTGGAGCAAAAAGACAGCCCCATTTGAGATCTTTAAGTTTCTGACTTCTTTACATCTTTACAATTTTGACCAGGGCTTATGTAGCTGGCATCAAGCGTCCCTTCTCAGTCAGATTTGATCCATATACCAGCAGTGTTGAAGTACTGGACAACCCAGTGAAGATCCAAGGAGGCCTGGAAGGTGTGAAGGATGAGCTTAAAGTGCTGACAGACGCCCTAAGTGTGCTATCGTGATGATGCGCTGTCTTTCACCATCCGCCTGTTGTTTGCTTTTCTCTCAGCTGAGTCCACGCTGTTGAAGATTGCCAATGTGTTCATATTTCTGTGCCGTACCTGCTGTATGAATCTGAGTTTTGCTCGTTGTGGTTGGCTGGTTTTCCAGCAAGGTTGCAACCATTAAAACCTCAAAACTCAGCGCTGACAAAGTATCCAAAGATCTTAAATGCTTGCATTTGTGAAATGATGGGGTTTTACTGACTGGACCATTCATGCTTTTAAAGTTTGTTGTTTGAGAAATGTGTCAAATCTAGAGTCATATCAAGGGGAACTCTGATAATGAATGTATTAAAAGAAGACTATATAACTATGGTATAGATATTTTGAAATTAAAGAATTATAATGGTGTATATTTGGATCGTTTATTTTATTTAGAAAAAAATCTGTAACTGCTCTGTCAAAAGCTTTATTTTCCAAATATGTGAATTTAGCATTTGAGTAATTAAATCCATGGCTTTCCTATGCTGTTCTTGTCTTGCATTGTGTATTTTATGCTGGTTTCGTCTTGCAGTGTAAATGCATAATAAAAAGGGGGAGGGGAGAATCTATGTAATAACCTATTGATTAGAAACTATCAGATAATAAAGAACTGCAAATTGACATTCCATTATCGTTTCTGTGATTTATCAAGTTTTATTCCTACAGTTAAACTAAAAATATAAATAATTGTATTATATTTGATAGGTTTTTGCTCTTATCGCTGATGGGAAAACCTAGAAATACTTTGGCATGAATTATTATTTAACGACACCTGGCTGCTTCTTATGGAACGCCAGGACTGCCATAATGAATTAATTAAATACACCATTAAATAATTAATTAAATGTGTCAATAATTAATTAATTACATGTATCATAACTATTTATTTAATTAATTAATTCCAATTTTAATTAATTATTGCCACATTAATTATTTAATGGTGTATTTAATTAATTCATTATGGCAGTCCTGGCGTTCTATAGATTCTTGCTTTACATTTGTCTATCGCAAGAGGGAGCTGTCTAGCTGTTTTGGCCTGCCTCGTCATAAAATCACAGCATATTTATTGAATTTTTTTGAGAAAATAAATCTTCTTAAGGTTCTCTTCCTGTCACCAATCTCTGTTTTGAGACGTTATTCGGTCTTAAAAACAAGCTAAAGCTCACAAACTACCCCAAGACATTTTAATGACACTAAATGCACTATAGAAACTCTATTTAATGTGCTTTATTGAAAATAAATAAATAAATCAGAAATCAGCCATTTTTGAAACTGTTATTCTGCATAATCATCGCTAATATATAAATTAAGTTTATATATTATCTTCTTTTAAAAGATCTACTTTTTACAGCGTGTGCTGTTTTGAAATAACCCCGAGAAATGCTGTGCATAAGAGAGAAATGTTAAGCTGTGAAAGAGAACACGAGTTTGCTGGGACACGCTTCCTTCTGTTCAGGTAAGAAGATGCGATCAAATCCAGGATTCAACATTCCAGCACAAAAGCTGGAAAGCCGAAAGCTGGAGGACAAACAAACGGAGGTACCGTAACCTGACCAGCAGGTGTCAGTATGAGTCTGAAGACACGTCCAGATCTTTACCTTCACCAGAACACACACTGAAATAAGGGGACCCTCGAAGAGTTTTATAAAGCATAACGTGAATGTGCGTGTTTATATGCTAAAATCAGATTTTCAAAGTATGGATCACTCTTTGTCTCCTCTGATGGTACCTGTTCAATATCTGCATAAAGTAGTGCTGCTGGACTGTATGATGCATATTTGTCATAATGTGCATACTAATGCATTAGTAAAGCTCTCCATCATATGACCATCCATCATATGTGTGGCTTGAGACATGCCTGCATCTACTTTCCCACTTGGTGTCCCGCTGCATCCGCTTTCTACTGCATGATCCCCCAGTTTTATCTCCCCTTCACTGTCAGGCACCTTTGACCCCAGTGCCTGCATCTAAGCAGTCTGAGGGAAGCCGCAAACCTTGGCCACAGTGATTCCACTGAATGTTAATCTTAATTACAGCAGGGCGGAGACATTGACATTTTTCTTGGAGTCGAAGGAATTACCCCTATTCTTGTTCAGTCTGCGTCCTGTGTGTAAACATTGTGATTGTAGGTTACAGTGCGTAAACGTGGAAAATGCCCATGGAAGTGTTCCATATTTTGTGACTCTCACCCTCTTATTCTCCCTTCAAGCACTTTCATAAAACGTCTCTGGGCCTTCTTTTTTTTTCATGGGCGAAGAGGAGGAGCAAGGGGTGGGGTGGGTGTAAGGGGCGTGCTTTAGTATATAATACCTCTCCCTGAGAAGTTTTGCCTGTCGCCTAGTCTTTGGGACAGCTTCTCACTCACCATCTCTATAGTTTAACCAACTGGGAAACTAACTCACCTGCAATTTCTCCAACCAAATAACTCCCAACGTTTTGACTACTGCCATCTGACATGGAAACCCAGCAAAGATACGGACATCACTCACTTTGCCACACCTGCCGGAGAACGCAGAACAGCCGAATGAAGGTAACCAAAGAACAAGCAAATTGTTTTATACTCTCCGGCTCTGCCGTGTGCGTAATGAAAGACGTCTGACAGGGTGATAGCGGAGTTGTCTTGGTTTTATAAGTAGGAAAACCAGTTCGGGTTCTGTAGATGCAGTGCTCGCATCAGTTTTGTGCAGTATGAGAACCGGGACATCTTTTGATTTGTATGCAGCAGAGAAAGTTCAAGATGCATAAACGGCGAGGAGAAGCTTTGAGGCATTTGGGATGGAAAAAGAACAAGTAATTTTAGTCTTCTCGCGCCTGGATGGTTTCGTGAACACGGAGCAAACAGCTGATTTTTTTTACCGGCAGATAGGGGGCGGCAGGTTTGAGGGTCAGTGAGCTCATTCCGGGGTGAGCAAAGGGAAAATATATGCTGAGTTTGGTGTTTTCGGCTAGTTAACTATCGAGCAGCCGGCCTTGCAACTTCAGGAGGGTTGTGTAAGAGTGGAAAGCTGGTGATACTGGCGACTTGTTTTTTTCCTCCAGAATAAGCACTTCTTCAGGTGCGACAGACATGACAGCAGCTGATAATAGCGGGCGGGGAAGGTGAAGAGAGGGTCTGCATATTGCGACATGATTTGAGATGATTTTCTTTTTCTGAATTTCTACTTTGTCGAACATTTGAGCACGTACACCGTACACAGCGGGAGCCTGTGATGAAGACTGTACCCTCTTCGTCTGAAAAAAACAAAACAAAACAAACAAAAAAAAAACAGTGGCTGATTTTGATTAAAAAATGGTATTTAAAAATGTCATTAACTGTTATTTCGTTAATGATTTCTGTATGCCACAACTTTCTGCATGTCATGGCTACATTTGGTGACCCCCATGCTTCATTCCGCAGGTCAAGAGGATGTCTTCGACGAGTCGCGCGCTGCTCTTTGCACTGGCCCTGACGCTCTACGTAGTGGAAATGGCCTCGGCGGAGACGCTGTGTGGGGGAGAACTGGTGGATGCGCTGCAGTTTGTCTGTGAAGACAGAGGCTTTTATTTCAGTAGGTTTCAAAGCATTACAAGTTTTCACGATGGGCTGTGTGAATGCTCATTTGCCTGTTGAATCTCTCTGTTGTTCGCTTGCACACATCTGTTTGGAGCAGAGGTGGGAAGTAACGAAGTACAAATACTTCGTTACTGTACTCGATTAGAATTTTCAGGTAAAACTTTTGCTCCCTACATTTTTAAACACATATCTATACTTTCTACTCCTTACATTTTCAAAACAAGCTAGCGACTTTTGCTTTAATCCATTTGACGGTGGTTATTATTTAACGTCTTTGAGCCTTCAAACATCAAACCGCAATCACATTTGCGTATTAATCACCAGTGGATGTCGCACAAAAAGAGATGAAAGAGGCAAAAGCGAGTACCACAGTCAGTGGTTAAAGTTGGAAGGTTTTTTTTTATTTGTTTCTTTTTTTTAAAAACTTGTTTAGGACAAACAGGTGAGTTTGCTGTACTGTGATGGATTTTAAGTAAAGAACAATGTGTGACTGGTACACAGTGGCTGTGTGCTCATGGTCAGAGGGAGGTTACATCAAGTGCAGCTGGTGGGATTTATTCACTGAATTCTACCTTCATATCAACTGTATATTGTCTAATATAAGGACAGCTTAAACAGTGGATGGAAATCAGCGAGGACAATTTATGCAACATCTGCTGACATCTTGTTGAATTCAGCAAAGACCAGTAAACCTCAGAGCAGCAGCAGCAGTACAGATCAGCTAATCACAGCCTGTACACAAAGAAAATCTACTGGAGCTCTCAATAGAAATTCTCGTGAGTTGTGACTCTTTCCCCCACACTGAGCCATTACAGCTGATTTTAGGATCCCCCACCTGCTGAATCCCACTTTAACCTCTTCCCTACTCATTTTCCTGTTTAAAACCATCTACAATGTAGGCAACAGAAAATAGAGAGACTTTTTATTTTCCTCCTTTTTCTCTAAAATTCAGACTGAAATTCTGCATTCCTATCTACCAATATTATTTAATTATTACATTAGTATCACACAAGGTTCAGTGAGCTTTGCACAAAAATAACTGGTAGAAATATTCCTCAAAGAGCTACTTTTACTTTCTTACTTTGAGATAATTTCAGAGCCTGTACTTTTTCACTTTTACTTGAGTAAAGAAGTAGCTTCAGTACTTCAACTTTTACTGGAGTATTTTTTTAACACTAGTGTCTGTACTTCTACTTAAGTACAGAATGCCTGTACTTTTGCCACCTCTGGTTTGGAGAGCTGAGACTGTGCTGCGGTTGTGTGGTATGCGTGTTTGCTATTTTTCTTTCTCACGCACTCACTCACACTAGCGCGTGCGCATACACACAGGGGGAGATTATAGCCAGCTGTGTGTCTCAAGACCTGGTCCAGGCTTCTCTCTCTGCTGAGTCTGCTTACAGCCCATACCTCTCATTGCATATGAAAGACTGGTGAACTGCAAAGGCACACACACACTGGCGACACAATAGGCTGCTTGTTTACCAGTAAAGTAATAGCACCCCATGAGGCATACCAGTCACCTCAGCAATAGTGTTCCCAGGCCAGGAGACCACACTGATGAGTTGGTTGAGGTGGGGGGTTGTTGATGTCAGGCTAAGAGAAGAGCTCATCAATTCTAATCATTGCTTCCATGAAGATGGAGTAATTGTAAAGCAGTGTTTGAGGAAGCATTGTGGTAGCTGTTAATCCTAAACTGCGAAAGCCTCTGTTCGCACAGTCTGCACTGTTTGTGACATACATAACTTCACCTTCCTCTCAATAATCTGATTTCAAACACTTCAGCTGAAAAAAAAACAATTTTAGCTGTTGCTTTGAAAATCAAGGTGTTTTCTTTGTGTGCTGCTTGCCACAGCAGCTTCTTTACCAATCAGGAAGATCGTTATCCAATTTGGGCCAACATAGATGTGCTCCCTTCTCTTTGTCCCCCCACCCCCTACAGCACATTTTCGTTTTCTTCTGCTATCAAATCTGGCCATCCCATGAGATTTCTCAAACATTGTTTGGGTCACAGGACAGCAAACAAGGCCTTTATTCATTGTGGATAATGTTCTCCTG